CTGACAGTGAGAACAATCAGTCCATGGAACAGAAGTTGCCTCCGGAAGTCGTGGGAGCTTCATCACTGGAGGCTTTCAAGAAGAGACAGGACTGTCCTCTGTCGGAAAGGGTGTAAGGACTCCCACTTGAGCAAGGGGTTGGACTAGACGACCTTCAAGGTCCCTTCCAACTGTTATTCTAATCAGCGGAAGGACTTGCCTCCAGGAGTTGTGGGAGCTTCATCCCTGGAGGCTTTCAAGAAGAGACTGGACAGGCCATCTGTCAGGTGCAGGCTCTCCTGCTTGGGGGTGGGTGGGGGGTTGAACTAGATGACCTAGCAGGTCCCTTCCAACACTTCCGTTAGTCTGTATGTAAGTTTCGGGGTCTCCAACCCTCGGAGCAACTTCACGTGGATGTTTTTCTCTCTCCTTTCCTTTCCGCCCAGCCGACAATGGCCTGAACCCTCTCTGGCTGCTGAAGCAGTTCATCTTCGACATCAACAACCCCCAGTTTGCCTTCCTCCGCTTCGTGGTCTACGAGGAAGACATGTTCAGTGACCCCAACTTCCTGGCCCAGGCCACCTTCCCCGTCGAGAGCCTCAAAACAGGTACCCTGCTCAGCCCCTCCCCCCCAGGCCCCACCCCCTGGTGACATTTGCATACTCCTCCCTTCTCAAGCGAATGGCGGTTGATTGCGACCGTCCCAACCGCTTCCCGACAAGCGGAGTCAATGGGGGAAGCCAGGTTCGCTTAAGGACCATACAAATTTGCTTAACAACTTCCACGATGCACTTAACAACCAAAAAGGTCATAAAGTGGGGCGAAAGCCCACTTCACCGCTGCCTCACTGAGCAGAGGACATTTTGGGCTCAGTTCCGACTGTGAACCGAGGGCTGCACCTGTACAGGTAGCCCTGGCGTTACAGCAGTCTGTTTAGTGACCGTTCGAAGTTACGACGGCACTGAAAAAGTGACTTACGGCCCGTTTTCACACTTACGACCGTTGCACCATCCCCGTGGTGATTTGAGCTCCGATGTTTGACAACTGACTCGCGTTTATGACGGTTGCCATACCCCAGGGTCACGTGATTCCCCCTTTTGCAACCTCCTGATGAGTAAAGTCAACGGGGAAACAGGATTCACTTAACAACCGTGTTACTCACTTAACAACCGCAGCAGTTCATTTAGCAACTGACGAAGTCCTTGGGGAAGCCAAATTCACTTAACAACCCTGTGACTCCCTTAACAACTGCAGTGATCCATTTAACAACTGTGGCAGGAAAGGTTGTAGAATGGAGCAAAACTCCCTTAATAAATGTCTCTGAGCAACAGAAATGTGTGGTAGTCCTCAACTCACGACCAACCGTGGTCATAAGTCGAGGACTGCCTGGAGATCGTTGGCTTGGCTGTCCAGCTTTTGAGCAAGACGGATTTGGGAGTTTCTCGTCCACTCTTGTCCTCAGGCTACCGTTCGGTGCCACTGAAGAACAGTTACAGCGAGGATCTGGAGCTGGCTTCCCTCTTGCTCCACGTCGAAATCATCAACGCCAAGGTGAGTTTTTGGGGCCCTTCAGGTGTGGCAGCGCCTGAGCTGGAGGCCGGGCAGGTGTTGGGCTGGCGAGTCCTGAAAAAAAAGAGGCCTCAAAGGGTTCCCTTCCAGGACTGGGCAAGACGTAAGCCAGGAGTAGCAATAGCAATAGCAGTTAGACTTATATACCGCTTCATAGGGCTTNGTTATATTTTAATTTATCTCATTTCCTTATTTTATATTTTATTATTTTATTTTAATTACCATTTTATTTTATATTTTATTTTATTTTCAGATCGTTTGCTACTCACCACCGTTCTGTGAGTGAGCATTCAAACTTACAAGAGAGCTGCTGGGGGGGGGGGGAGTGACTTTAGGGCCGTTCTTCACCCGTACGACCCTTCCCGCTTCCCCCGTGGTCACAACTCTTTATTCTTCTCTTGAGGCAGCTTTTTGCAAATCTTTTGATTGTCTGGGGCTCAGTTGCCATCTGCCTCCTCCAGCGTCAGAAACTCGCCAAAGGGGATCACGTGATCCTGGGACATTGCAACCAACATAAGTACATGCCAGTTGCCGAGTGTCTGAATTTTGATCACGTGACCACGGGGAAGCTGCAACGGTCGTAGGTGTGGAAATCGGACCTAACTCATTTTTCCCGCGCCCTTGTAACTTCAAATGGCCGTTAAACAAATGGTTGTAAGTTGAGGACAACCTGGGACCCTGAAGGTCATCTAGCCCAGCTCTTGCCCAGGGGAAGAGAGAGATTGGGGACAGAGGACCACTTAGCCGCTGCTGAAGAACCTTCGTGATCGTTGTCCTCTTCTAATTGTTTTGCCCCGAATGGGAGACCAGCAACCCTCCGCGCCCCCGCATGCCCCCCCACCCCCGTCCTGCATTGGGGGGCCTCTTCCAGTAAAGCCGCCCCCTCTGATGTCCTTGTAGTTATCTCGAAAGACGCCAGGAGCCCCAAACCCTTTGTCTTCACCATCCATTCCCAGCAGATGAACCACCCATCCCAGTCGCTGGACGTCGCCACGGATACGCTGGAGGAGCTGAACGACTGGGTGGCCAAGATCCGGGAGGTCACGCAGAACGCAGACGCTAGGGTGAGTCCTCCTAACCGGAGGTCCCGGTTGGAAGATCTGCTCCCCCAAGTTTTGAGGTTGGATCCACAAGGGGTCCGTTGAAGTTAGGGAGCCTTACGGGAGAGGGGTCAAACTCCATTTCACTGAGAGCCGCATCACGGTGGTGTTTGACCACGGAGGGCCAGTCTGTGTGTGTGTGTGGCTGTGGTGGCCGTGGCCACGATGGGCATTTGACTCGGGCTCAAGATGCATTTTCCCCCTTCTTTCTTTCCACGGTTCTTTTTTTTTTTTAATGTTAAAATGTTTTTATTTTTCATTTTCGTACCGTCACATATATACTGTGGCTAACCGGAGCCATACAACATTAAACAATAATCACAGCAGTTCCTCT